TACAATCTTCCTTGTGTACTAGTACAGTCACTGATCTTTTGTGTTCGCTAATCCTGATCTTCAACTGTCTGCCGTGTACCTGTCTCACCAATGTAAAAAGTATTGCAGTCATGGCAATCGATTCCGTTAGAGCAAATAAAACCCTTTGTATGTGCTTTGCAAAGGTCACTTGCTATTCACTCTGCTGCTTTGTCCTGGACCTTTTGTTATACAGAACTATTTTGACTGCTATTATTCTAGCGTTTTTTTTTTCACCGCTATGACGATAAATTGAGCAGTAAATTTGAGCCCCAGTGAGTTGACATTAGTAAGATTCCAACTGACCTTAGCTGCGATTTGATGACAACAGGGAGAAAATTCAGTAAGTTTGTTAAGGGCCTTTAAACGTTATTGAACCATCGACAGAATGAGGAAGAAGTCTTTTAGCACCGCGCAATTTCAAGTACGTATTTTTTTTTCGCTCTTCGATGCAATGAAAAGAAACGTCAGATGCCTGACTTTGGTGCCATTCATGTTAGCGCTGTCTATATACAAGCCATTTTTTCTTTCTCACTCTTCTCTCCTCTACGACAAACAGACGCGCGTGTATACTGTGGGTTCAAAACTGTAAGGCAAGGTGCTACGTGTTCTTTTTAGGTGTAATTATCGTCTTCGTCACTCGAAATTTTGACATGCAAAGACTCTTTAGAAGGCATATCTTCCGTCTGAATGCTGTGTAATGTTACTCTCTGTTGGAAAGCGAATGACTTACATTTTCACTAATTACAGATAACAATTAAAACGGAATCAAAAGAGTAAAAGGATAGGAATTATTGAGTATAAGTTAAGTTTCATCAAGAGTCAACAAGTGTAGAACATGAGCAAAAATGTTCATTAGCTTGGTTGTTGGATATACATGAAAATTCTCAAACACAAGCCTAAAAATGTCCATACCGTTAGCTTACGGCCAACCTGGTCGACTGAAGTGAGTAGTTGTTCACACTCACTGACCGCTAGGTGGTATAGCGGCCAGGACCCTCTTATAAATGTCAGGTAAATCAACCCCCCTTCCCTATTCATGGGTGGCTGGTGACGGATGATGTTGATAGCCTCTCGTATTTTTCGCGGGATGTAAGCTAGCGGTACGAAATTTTTGAGAATTTTCATGTATAAGTGTAGAACATGTTTTTAATGTCAGATAAAAGATGGAAAAGGTCAAAGTCAGTAACAGTTTATGTGATTGGTTAATTTCATAATATACATTTTAATTTGGGTCATCTGTTTATCACATGATAACTGAGTTTTGGATAAGTTCCAAGCATGAGTAATTCAATTAATATTTTAGATATCTTTAATTGAAAACAAGTCTCTTAGGGATTACCTAATAAGGAAATGTTGCATGGTGACTTGCAACATGCGAATGGAAAATATTTTGTAATCACACAAAGACAATGAAAAGAAAATAGGAAAATGCATCATCAGTGGGCAGAAATAGAGTTTAAATACTTGTGAAATTGTGTGAAAAGTTAGTTGGTGAATAAACGTTCGAAAGCTCCAGATCGTTGTCGTATAACATCTCTACCAGCTGATGACGCACACCCTGCGTCCCCCCCCCCCAAAAAAAAAAAAAAAGAGAGAAAGAAAGAAAGAAAAGAAAAGAAAGGCTGCTTTTTAATTTTTTAAATGAATTGTTTTTACTCTTAGTAAAGAAATTCATCAGCTGTTTTTTCAACAAAGTAATAGTCAAACTAACAGTCTACTTAAACCAGTAGCACAGTCACTGATCTTTTGTGTTCGCTAATCGATCTTCAACTGTCTGCCGTGAATCTGTTTCACCAATGTAAAAAGTATTGCAGTCATGGCAATTGATACCGTTAAAGCAAATAAAACCCTTTGTATGTGCTTTGCAAAGGTGAAATGAATCACTTGCTATTCACTCTGCTGCTTTGTCCTGGACCTTTTATATACAGAACTATTTTTGACTGTTATTATTCTAGCGTGTTTTTCACCGCTATGACGATAAATTGAGCAGTAAATTTGAGCCCCAGTGAGGCGACATTAGTAAGATTCCAACTGACCTTAGCTGTGATTTGATGACAACAGGGAGAAATTTCAGTTAGTTTGTTAAGGGCCTTTAAACGGTATTGAACCATCGACTGAATGAGGAAGAAGTTTTTTAGCACCGCGCAATTTCAAGTACGTTAATTTGTTTTTCT